ACGCAAGAGAACTGACTGTATCAACAAGTAGGGCTTTTATCTATTCACCAGTCCAAAGCGCCGCTTCGCGGCGCTTTGAACTGGTTGTGTGTGTAAAGTAAGATGTGATAAAACTAAAAGTTAGAACATACGAAGTTCTGCTGAGAACCTTTTCTTCCTCAAAATACGGTAACATTTTTGACACTTATTCTGGGAGATTAGTCAAAGATATTGAATCTTCCCTCCTGTTAAGTTCCGGAGTTTTCTTAACAAAGGCCTCAACAGAATTTTGACTGCTCTCTCCCAACTTCTTTTATCCGCACCACTGTTTTCTCCTATGCTCTACAGGGTTAGATAGTTTTGCATATTATTGCGTTTTGCAAACTCGTCCTTCTTTTATGCAATTTGCCTACTTCCCCCTCTCCCCCACCAAGTCCTTTTTGCACCAATGATTCTAGATGAAATTCCTGATCTACCAATCTTTCACGCATTCTTACACTTCTCAGATCTAATACAATCCCCAACGGGTCATGCATCGAAGTTGCCGTATTCAGATGCGCCGCTTACACGTTTATCCAAGCCATGGTTCAGCATCACGTCTGCGATTTGATGCAAATAGTCGTTTGGGACCTCTCAACCTCTCTATTCCCTCATAATTTTCTTCGACTATGATGGCATGAGGGCAAATGCAGCGCAGAGGGTTTGCGCTGCGGACGCGCGTTTCCATCGAAGGTTTCAGCCTTATTGCGATTGAGACATATTGTACTTGACAAAGCTATCATTCCTTCGACATTTTGCGGCTATCCGGATGCTCCAAACTTCTATAAATTTAAAAAAGTATATCTGGCCGAAGTGACCATCTCACACTGGACAAAGTTCTCCCAGCGCCGACCACTCCCTTGCTATTCCCCAGCTGAGGACCTTCTCACATTATGGGCCGCATGCACTAACATCTCCGCGGGGAGGGGATCGCGGCTTAAAAGAAAGCTTTATATTTCGAAACTTCAGATACCTGGATTTCACGTTGTGTACCTGCGAGAAACTGTACGAACCGCATTTTCCAGCTTTAGTATGATCCCTGGTGATCCCCGGCGCTTTTCTTTAAAGTCATTTTTCTTTCTCCGAAGTTAACGAAAAACCTCCAAAGTTGTGCACATTATCTAAACCGACAGTGCTAAGCGTGTTGCTGATAAGTACAAATGGTGTTTTGAAGTCATGAAATTTTCGATGATCCACAGGTCGAAATTTGAGGTTTACCGAAAAATTCGACTTTCCAAAAACTCATTTGTTCTCATCGGCAACATGCTTAGCACTGTTATATTAGATGTTCAGTACAACTTTGGAAGGTTTTCGTTAACTTCGGAGAAAGAAAAATGACTTCAAAGAAAAGCGCCGGGGATCATCAGGGAGATCATACAAAAGCTGGAAAATGCGGTTCGTACAGCTTCTCGCTCCTCTTCAACATGTTCATAGTGAAGGGTAGTAGGAATACTTACGGATAGGCACACAATGTGAAATCCAGGTATCTGGAGTTTCGAAATATAAAGCTTTCTTTTAAGCTGCGATCCCCTGCCCAGCGGGGAGGTTACTGCGATCCCCTCCCCAGCGGGGAGGTTAGTGCATGCGGCCCTAAGTGTCATTCCTGCATGGAATCTCCATTCCTCCCTCCCCCCCCCCCCCCCAACTTCTTCGAGTTCTCTTATTTTTGAACTCATAGATCAGATCAGCAAGACATCACAACTTACATTTGTGAAGCTATTTAGCGGACATTACAACTTTTGAATCTAGAATTTTTTGAATTCATAAACTACCCCTTTCTCGGCAAGGTGCTTTCTTGGAAACATGCGCAACTTTTCTTCAACTAAAGAAAATCTTGCAGTCGAAACTCCCCATTCGCGTTTTATAGAGAACTGTCAAACATCCATGAAACAGAGGCCGAACTGTCAAACATCCATGAAATTTCTGCCAAACTGGCCGAAAACCACTCACTTCCCAGCTCATCTCAGTAGGCTATTAGTTGTTTCTTTTGAATCCTACCATCGAAGCGTGCTTCTGCTTTCAGCTGCTGAGCTAAGCATGTCTTTGTTGCTTATACGATTTTTGAATTGCGCAATGTTTTGGCAAAAAAACTGCAGGAAAAAAACTGCGGTCTAAATGTGCAACTTTACACTTCTGAGTTCAGCAAGGTTTCAGCTGATAGTGAAGCCACTGCATTGATTCTATATTGTCTTTATACACAACTGGTTAACGGCAGTTTCTAATGGCGAGTAGTTTTTCTTTCGTCAAAACTTCCCAGACCTCGATTTACTACCCCGGAACCTTTCTCTCCTGTCCCACTTCCTTCATCTCAGCCCAAGGTGGGCAAAAAACCCTGTTTTGTCTGCTTTCGCAGTATGAAAATTTTGCACGAACAACTGAGATGAGCGAATTTCCGATTATTCAAACTGAGAAGATTAATGAGAAAAATTCGCATCTACGGCTGTTGCAGTACATTTAATATGAAAGTGGAACTTGTCTGATACTATAGAGTACGTCTTCAGAAAGCTGTGAGAGGCTGTCGTTTGATGGAAATGTAGTTAATCGATTCTACCGCTTTAGGAGTTGTGTGAAAGGGCCCACTGATCAACAACTCGAGGAATAGGCTCAAGCAAAATATGAATCATCAATTTGGGTGCAGTGGGTGCATTCGAGACAGACGGAATTGTTGACATCGTCTCGGCAGCGTGACGTCAGATGGGCCCCCCTGCGCTTTATATAGAGAGATGATCTACCTGTTATTGAATGCAGAATCGAGCTGCTACAATTAGAAAGTTCAAAGATTCAGAAACTGATAGTATTTAGCAAAAAAACAACCTAAAACAAACATTATGCCATCAATTCCAGGAAGGGGTCGAATGACAGTTTATTGGCTGGAAAGCTAGCATGCTTAACAAGTTTAAATCTGTCCTTCTTGTGATTTCATGTGATGGTACATGTAAATTCAAGACAAGCAAATTTCTGACTTGTTGATAGCGTTCATTGCCGCAGACGTGCCGCGTAATAGTCGTTCAAGTCATAGGTAGACGATATGAGTCCAAAGAAATGGTTTATTTTTACAATTAAGAGAGCAAATTGCAGTCATATATTTGCCGTTAATTTCAAAAGCGTTGAATTTGCTTCCTCAGAGCAGAAAAAAGGGCGCATTTGATGCGAGAGCTGATCCACTTAGATAAAAGAATGCATTCTTCATAAATTCCTCTTATATTAGTCTACGCCGAAGTTCGTTCGCATTATATGAAACCGGTGCATCACCTCCGCTTCGCGGAGGTTCGCACTGGCACTCCTATCCGTATGCCTTTCTCATATTCGCATAATAATGACTTTGAGACTTACCGCGCGATGCTGAACATCACAAATGAATTGTAAACAACTGCTCATTCTTAAAGCATCTCCACGTAATATCGGTAATTTTGAGAAAGAAATCTTTTTCGCAAAGGAAAACCTGCGAATTCGAATGAATTATCGAATTTATTTTGGCTTGGCAGTCGTCATAAGGATAGTAGTCACTTTGGGCTACACTTCCGTGCAAAAATCTTTTCAAATTTAAAGTTACAGCCTTGCCAAATCGACTATCTACACGATCACCACTTTTTGGCGCTGTTTTCGCAGAAAAGCAAACTTTTTGTGCCCTTTTTGGGTTAGAATTCATGAGGCGCAAATTTACTTGTCAGGCAAATCATGGCTTTGCAAAAAATTCAAATCTGGACTCAGTTTTGCCTGCTTAGAGCTGTGTGGATCCGCTTGACGCACAATTTTTGTAACATTAACGCAACGGATCCGTACGAAATTTTGCATGATGGGCCTAGATGCTGGCAAGGTGCTATGACCAAAACTTCAGCTCAAGACATTTGCTGGAACTCGGTGTATGAATTTCGTGACAGACAGACGTACACACAGACACACAGACAAACAGACGTAAACAACCCTTAGCCCGTTATTATTAAGTCATAGATACTAGCTGGCTTACCCGGCTCCGCCGTATGTTCCGAATAGAAAATTCCATTTCTTAACCGATCCGGACCAAACTTGGCACACATACCCTTCGGGCCCCGGCGGGTGTCACAGTCCACTTTTCGTTATCGATCGATGTCGATTTTATCGATTTTTTTGCAAAATTTGAGCTACGGGGCTGGGAGTTGGCACAGGGGGGTAATGGGGGGATGAGCAGAGGGGTGTAATCGAGCATGCTGATCACCCCGTGGGGGTGATCAGCATGCTCGATTACACCCCTCTGCCAACTCCCAGCCATAGGTGCGATAGGGGAAGCCGGGCTCTCCCCAGGTGAAGGGGGTCTCGGCTGTTCCCGACCTTCCAGGGTGAAGGGGGTATGTGAGTCTAGGAGGGGGGGGGGGGAGGAAGAGAGAAAAGGTAAAAAAAGCGTAATATGAAGAGCTCTAATTTGTACCTTATTTAGGCACAAATTGAAAAAAAATTTAAAATTTTTCAAAAGAAATTAAAAAAATTAAAAAAAATTGATATGAAGATCTGTGCTCCTGTTTCACTGCATCAACAAAAAACGAAAGCAATAATGTTTATCTAAAAAGATGTACAAGTTAGGAA